TTAAAACAGTTGAATTATTTGATTGAAATTTCAAACTTGGTTGATCCCTTAAAAAATTCCTTCCTTTTATCCAAAAAAATATAAACTGTTCAATGTAAAGAAAATGCACCCTTTGTGTCAGTTTTATTTTTATTTTTTTAAACATTTTATCATGGATCAACTCGAACCGTTGTCTTGAAAGAAGAAAATATAAACCTTATAAGAGTAACAAAAACCACTTAACCCAGACGATGAGGTTCTTGTGTCAGTTTTATTTTAAACTTGTAGAACAGTTACTTTTGATTGTCATTTATCAGCTACACCTTTGCATGATCATTTTTTTCGGTGAGTTATTTCATCATAGATGTTCACTTTATGAATCATTAGAGAAATGGCATTCAGAAACATTTCAATATGATAATGTTGAATTACTAAAAGTTACAACTCGAATCTCCAGGCCTCCAACTCCAAGGACACACACAATGATGGAAGGGGCAGCATGGTTATTAATAATAATAATTATTATTATTATTATAATAAACAGGACATATGCACAGGAAATTCTCTAACAACGGTGATCATTGCTTTAACAATTCCAGAAAATAAAAACAACAAAAATAAGGCAAATCCATCCTTCATTTCATCAAACCTTAACCCACACAAAACAAAACAAAACAAAACAAAAGGAACCCAGGAAAAGCATTTCCGGGTAAAAGAAGAAGAAGAAGAAAAAAAAAGAAACAAAACAAACATGGCCTATCGCGATCCCTCACTTAGCGACCATCCTCGCAATGAAATCTTCGTACCGGATCTTGCCATCCGACCCGACATCCACCTCGCGGATCCACTCATCGAACTCAGATGGCTCTAGCTTCTCCCCAATGCTGGTCAAAATGTGTCTCAGATCCGCCACGGACACGAAGCCGGTGGACTCTTTATCGAGGACCTTGAACGCATCGCGCAGCTGCCGATCGAATGGCTCGAGTTTCATGTGCTTCGCCATGAGATCCAAAAACCGAGGGAAGTCAAAAGGCGCCGTCAACTTCTCTTCGGCGATTATGGACTTGAGTTGTGCCTGGGTCGGGTTGCCCCCGAGCGAGCGCATGAGGATCCCCAATTCCGACGGAGCAATCTTACCATCACCATCGGTGTCGAAGAGAGTGAAGGCTTCTTTCATCGACGAAACCTGATCATCGCTTAGATCCTTACCCATCGTTCTGCGTTTTCGGGTCTCGGCTCTCCGGGTCCGGGGAGTGATGTCTGGTTATCAGTTTTAGAGAGGAAGGAAAGATTTGAAAGCTCTTTGTCTTGAGGCGAAGAGTGAGCATCGGGGACCTTCTGAACGATGTTACTCGGGTGTTCGTCTTACTGGTACGACGTCGTTGCAGTATTAAAGATTAAAAAAAACAAAGAAAAAGGTTAAAATCATCATCATCATCATCACTACTTTGGGTAATTATTCCTGTGCTGTGGTCCAGTCCAGGATCATCGGGAAATGTGCATGAGTAAAGGGTTCACACCTCATTTTATCACGTTAGCCCCCCAATTTATTTCCTAATCTTGATTAAATTTTTATTAAAATAAATAAAATTTTGAATTGAACCAGCTTTTCAGTTTTTAGATTTAATTAATTGAAAATTTAATTTCTACTTATTACTTAAAAAATCTCCCCATTCTTCATAATTTTTCATGTTTAAAAAAATAAATAAATGCTAATGATTTAACTCCTTTAGTTGAAAATAAGAGATATTAAATTTAAGTCGGATGACATGTGAGTGAGATGAGATAAGGGATAGGAGATTATTGCCTCTCATTATAAAATAAATATTAAAAATAAATAAATAAATAAAAATAAATTTTTGAATTTGATAATTTATGTAATTTAAATTTTTTTATTGTAAACTTTATATTTTTTTTATTTTGTTTATATAAATAAAATATTGATATATTATTATTTACATAATAAATATTGATTTTACTTAAACAAATAAAGGATAAATGAATGTTAAATTTATTGTAAAAAAATTAAATTGCTTAAATTATCAAATTTAGATATTTATTTATTTTAATAAAAATCTAAAATAAATTAAGTACTTAATGAAGGGTTTTACCTTTAATCAAATCACGAAACTTTCCTCTGAGTACTGTTTACTTAGAAGCCACTTTTATAGAAAAATGGTTGAATAAAATTGTACGAAAATGGGTAAGTTTAATAATAAAATTTTGTTAAAATTTTATAGGTTGTTAATTTTTTTTATTTGGTAAAAAATTAATGTAGAAAAAATTAGTATAAAAATTGTTAAGTGAGTTTTATATAAAAAATTTATTAATTAAGAATTGTGTCCAAAAGAATAAAAATCAAAAAGTTTTTTTTTTTAATATATACATTGCAAAAGCACTTGCCCGTCATTAAGATGCAATTCCCCCCTCCTCTTGGAATTAGGTTCAATTCCCATGATACTTTATTCAAAATATATTTATACCTTGCAAAAAGAGAGATAAATGTGCATTTATTATAATTTTTTACAATTATTTTATAGTAAAAATTACAAAAATAAATTTTATTTTCAATACCAATATCACATGTAATGATTTAATTAGCCGATTAATAAAACTTAAATTGATTTTTATTTTTAATATGCAAATTAATGGTGAAAATGTGTTCTTTAATCTAAAATAGTATATATTTTTATTTTATCTTTACATTAAGGATTTTGAAATAATTTTTATTTTTACTTATTTGATCTTTTAAAAAATAAAAATAAAAAACATATTTATGATATGATGGGTAATTAAAGTTAATATATAATTATAAATATGATAAAATTCATGTCTATGTTATATTTTGTATATTTAATAATTGTGATTGAATATTTTAAAACTTTAATGTTATGATGTCCAAAATTTCTCTTTTATTATAAGTAAAAAACTCCCTCAAAAAATAACTTTTATTAGTATTTATGTTTGAGTAGGGATTAACTTATAGACAGAAAGTTGCAATTCAACCCCTCTACTTAAAAATAGTGCAAGTCAGCCCCTCTACTTGACAAAACCTGCGAATCAGTCCTTGT